CCACGGCCACCAGAAGAACAAAAACTCTCTCAATCCACATGATTGAGTAAGAGATAGAAAACGGAGGAAAATACAAGTCAGAAAAAAAAAGAATACGTAAGAAAAAAGAGCTAAACTAAGAGAAAAGCAGGAGCGACTGTAACAGGCTGCACGCTGGTTGGAGCATGCGCACTGTGAATGAGTGATACACCTCCTGTCAGGCCTGCAGGTTTTATCTGCAGGTGGTGTTCTTCTCTCTCTTTTGTGCGGACAAACTATTTTTTGCACTCGCACAAATAAATATTGTGACACCTGATTGGTCTCTCATTTTAGTTTTCATAGTTTTAAAAGGTTGTACAAAAATCGTCAGCTCTCTGCTCTACGTTCTCTGTGCCATCCCTGCTCATCATCCCGTGTCTTTATGGTTTTTAGGTGACTTCATAAGTTTTCCCCGGTCTAGGTTTTGGTAGCTCCCCGTTCTGCATTTCCTGTTTTTGCCACTCCTGTAAATAAAGCTCACTCGCATCACAGCCTTTGCAAGCATCTTGGGTTCATACTCTCAGATACCGCACGACTGCTGCCACAGCCGTGACATTGACACCCCATTTGATTTCCATGCCACTCTAAGATTGTTTCTCTCTAAACTCAACACTAACTGTAAAAAACGGAACTTAAATGGTAAATGGCCTGTATTTGTATAGCGTTTTACTTAGTCCCTATGGACCCCAAAGCGCTTTACACTACATTTAAACGTCTCCAAAAAGCAGCAAAGGGGAATGATAAATACAAAATAAACTCAAAATGCTGGGCCAATGACCCAGCATCCTGACAGTGACAGTTTCCATCACCACTTCAGCTGTACTTTCCCTGTCATCTGGTAACCCCTTCCCTTCCGAACAGAGCCTGTCTCAGCATGTCCTCAGTCCAGAACCTGTTCTAACCGAATTCAACGCAACATTGTTCTTTCTTCAACTTTGACAGTTTCATTCTTGCTCTGCCCTAACTTGCTTCCTGTCTTGATTCCCTCTTATATAATACCTTACAGTATTAAGCGCCTTAAGGCAACTGCTGCTGTGATTTGGCATTATACAAATAAAATTGCATTGAAACTTGAATAACACATTTAGAGGTGGTCAGGATTACAAATGTCTCTCTCAATCACAGAGACCATTTTTCAAAACATAAAGTCATTTGATCACACTCACTAAGAATGATTATTATATGAGTAAGCTTAAAGAGGCATTGCTCACCTGCCTTGGTAAAAGGGCCAACTACTGATGGAGCTCTTCTGCTTCCATGGCCTTTAATTAAACCTGTTCTGTTCATCAGTTGTAACAAACAGAACCATAGACTGAATGCTTTGTTGTGCCAAACACATTTGCTTTCACAAGAGGAGCACTGTGGCACTGTTCATTTTCTGTAGGCTTCTTTTCTAATCTTGTTTTCATATTATTATCTGTGTGGAATATAAAAAAAGACAGAAAGACGGAGGGGAATGAAGCAGGAGGTGGATTGAGGCTAAAACAGAGAGACATGCTGCATCTGTAACAAAACACACTCAAACTCTACTCAACACCTGAACGACAAGAAAGGGAAGGTACATAAAGAAACATCGCATTTTCTGTGTGTGTGAGCAAGTGTCTGTATGAGCATTTTCCAAGAAACATACTTGAAAATGAGTGTGAGAGACTACTATAATGCCCCTAGTGAGCCAGGCAAAGACCTCATATTACTCTGTAATATTCCTGTCAACATTCTTGATATTTATTTATAATCACCTCTGTCAATCCTTGATATTTATTATTGAGTCATTTGTATATATTTTGCTATTTCTTGCAATTCTTAAATCTGTAACATATTGTATTGTAAAAGATCTTGTCTGTTTCTGTTGCTGTATTGATACTGGAGCAACTGTAACCCACATAATTTCATTAGGGATTAATAAAGTATGCTGATTTTGACTCTGATTCAGATGCGTGGCCATCCACGGCTCCCCAAGAGTGCTGAAGACCCGAGGCCACGTATCTCGATGAAAAACAAAAACCCTGTCATGTTTCAACATGCTGAAGTTTCAGTGCATGCACATTTGATGCTCTAGAAATGTGTGAACAAGAGGTTCGATGTGGGTGTGTTCCCCGTCTTCCGTCAACATGCTGATGCCTCAAATAACAAATTAAATGTACCGCAAAGCATAAAGACTGTTTGAATATGTCAAAACGGTGGGAAGTAAGGACCCAGAATTCAGACTCGACAGATCGTTCTTGTCGTGGATTGGTGCTGTGGCTGGCAGGATGAGGACCCAAACACAGGACTCGTAAGCACAGAGAAGATGAACTCAAACAGGCAGCTTTATTGCACTGTTGATACTCGAAACACAAACTCACGAAGAATGAACCAAACTAGAGACTAAGAACTTAAACACTAGGGAAACCAGAAATACTAGAAAACTAGGAGTGAAGTAGCTTGGAAACACACAGCACATAGAGTGGTATGACACGACAACAAACAGGGGAAGACTGAGGCCTAAAATAAGCAGGCAGGATAAGTAGAGGATGGGCAACAGGTGGAAACACAGCCGGGACTTATCAGAGTTAATGAGACAGGGTTAAAGCAAAACACTGAGCACAGGACACGAGACTACCAAAGTAAAACAGGAAACACAAGACAGGCATGGAGACGCAGAGTTGACCAGCAGGCACAGCTGAAAGGGAAGACACAGGAAATGCACAAACATAGAGACCGGGGAGACTAGACAAGAAATGTGTAACACAGGAGAGGCAAAGAAACAAAATCCAAGATACAAAATTCACTAAAATACAACTTCGACAGTTCATTCTTGCTCTGCCCTAACAGACACTTACTTAAGTCATCAAGTCAACAAGAGTTAACTGTCTTGTGATCAAAATTACATTTAACCAACATGCGTTTATTCAAATTTTATTTGCAAGTCCAGTTTGGGTAATAAAATTAAAGGGAATAAAATAATGCACGGGGATGGAATAAACCAAATGCACATTTTTGAAAGACATCTTTACCTATAGATTTACTTTAAGCTTCATTTCTGACAGAATATGATCAATCATATAAACTATTGTAAGTTGGAGATGTGAACCTACTTCCAATTATTTATGTTGTAAACTATTAATATAAATCAGGTCACTTTAACCTTGCTGAACTGAGGTAACATTTTTCTTATGGATGAAATGGTCTAATCTGAGCTTTGATCATTTGTTGAATGATTTGACAAGCAGTTGGGCACTATTAGTTTTAGTTTGAAAACTAGTTTTGAATAGCCTTGTCATAAATTTTAAGTGAGCAATTTTATAATACTTAACCATGGAATTAACACAGGCTTTACTTAGTCTGTCATTTGCACCTTATCCAGGTGTCTGATTGCATAGACTTTGGATCCACGGCAGGTGGTGTCTTGACTCAGTTTTTCTTTTTGACCCGACCATGTATGTTTTTCTGTCCTCAGAGAAAAGTTCTGACAAAAGCTACACCAGAAAATCATGGAAGGTTTGGATGATTGCAACCTTTCGGTTCTAAATGATAGGCCAAGCATATGCATATTTATGCAAATTAATGTCTAAATGAATTTTGTGTTGCACACACTGACAGTGATCCTACATAGAATCAGTTTTATGTTGTCAGATCAATAAAGTATTTAAATTACATTTAAATGTATTTGACAAAATGACAATTTGGAATTGTTTCCTTCTGTCCTTCGTTCCTGCTTTGTTCATTCACCCGCTCCAATAAATCCCCGTCATTTCTGTACCTGCGAGTCCTGCGTTTGGGTTCCTTCTTCCTCGCCTCCACACAACGCCTGACAGAATGACACGACCTGTGCCACGAAGACACGATTGGAACCCAGCAAACTCCGACCTCTACGAGCGGCAGGAGGCAGCGCTTTCCCGTTGGGCAGAGGAGCTCAGGGGAAAACAGATGGAAGTGACGAGTAAGGTAAGCGACCCATGTTGTAGGTGACGTCAGACGCCGGAGAATTGGCGGAATAAAAAAAAAAAAAAGCAAATGGTAGCATAGAGTTTAACAAAGGTTTTTCAAGCTTCAGTGTTACCAAATATACTAATCAATTGTCATATAACTAACAACAACCTCCAGCTGACGAGGCATGAGGGTGGACGGGCTCCTCGGGCCCTCCAGCTGACGAGGCATGAGGCTGGTGCGGTTCTCCTGAACCCCCAGCTGACGTGGCATGAGGCTGGACGGGAGCAGGATAAACCCTGGGTTAACTTAATCAGTTGATAATCTTACTTATGTACAGCCACACATGTATATCCTAATCACTTGCTCACTCAAGCTTCCACAAAGACTGTCTTTAAAAGATATACGGGACTTCTGATGTTTTTAATGATGTCAATGATCAGTTCAAAGTGCAGTCATAGAATATGGAATCTGTTTTCAGTGGGTTTAATACAGGCTAAATAAGGGTACCAATTTTGAGCCAAGACCTTAAATTCAATTTAATTAAGGAATGGTTATTTATGCAACTGGTCATGCAAGAGTAACCTATGACAACCAACTATACCCAAGGCCACACATCTTGACCACACATCTTCGGTATGCACAGCAAATGTCATACCCTAGCCCAGTCATACAGGCTGGTGCATTTGATGAGTGACCTCACCTGACTCTTGTGTTGCAGTAAGGTGATTGCAAAAAGTCTTTGGCTGTGTGCTGGCTTGTTGCTTCCTGTTTTGTCATTTTTTATCTATACAAACATAAATGCAGGGCTTGGTTTTGAGAATAACTGTGTTCTCTAAAAAAAAATAGTCACTACGGTCCTTTGGAAGCACTAAAGCAGCTGTATATTTGTGAGGTGTCATAATTTAATCACAAAGTTCACACCCCTCGAGAACAGTGGAACGCTTTTTACTTTCTTTTTTCTCTTTCTTTCCTCACCCCGCCTAAAAAGGCAGGGCTTATGGTTTTTTGCTTATATAGCTTCACATTTCAAGTTCAACTCTGTTGAACAAACTGTCTGCCAGAAATGAAGGACTTCCTAAAAAACTTTCCCTTTAGGGAATTCAGTGTCTTTATCACCATCGTCGGCAGTTTTACTTATAATGTTTTACTTGAAAGAGATGTGGTCTGCACTTGCATAGATGTCGATACAGACTGCTGGATATACCTTTTTATGCCGGTGTTTATAATTTTTTTCTTAATACTTTGGACAGACAAGATATTACAGAGAACCTGCAACTACTATATATTTGTATGTTCAGAAAAGCTAGCTTTTTTGCTAGCTTGGCTAAAAAAGCCTGATAAACCTGATGTGGAGCATCAACCACTTGATGAGCAGCAACATCAACAAAAGAATAAAAAATGCCGGGGAGCATTATGTGGTGTTTTCTGGAGTCGCATTATCAAGGCACTTTGTGTTGGTGCGCTGTGGGCTATTTCTGTGCTCATCGATGGAGACTGGTATGTTTGCTGTCAGAATGATCATTCTGAAAAGCAATCACAGTTAGCCTGCAAAGATAAAACCAACATGACACCTGAAGAAAATGTGGACATCAATACCCTGAAAAACAAATCAAGAGTGAGTTTTTTTCTTACTTTATTCATATCTTATAACGCTGTTCTGTCACAGCAAACATTGTTGAAGTCTCAGCATCATCTCATTATAATAGATCAAGCTACAAAAGAAACATATAATTAATTAAAATAGTCAACTGTTGCAACATTAAAAAGATATAAAAATCAGTGAATAATCAATAGTAATCCAATAATACCATGTATTTTATTTCTAAAAAAGTGTCATAAATACTTTTACTTTATTATGTGTGTTAAGCCAAATTTTAACACAACCTATGCACTGTTTTATCTACCTAAGTAAATTATAACTATTACTTGGGGGAAGGCTAAATACGTTACTTCCACTTTGCAAAATAAATATCCAGTGCAAAATCATTTTTAAATTTTTGTGGACCACATTTTGCAGAAGACTTTCAATAGGACATACTGTATGGCTGCAAAGGAGCCTGAACATCCCCGTCATCTCTGCTTACCGTTATGTAAAACTCACTAACACCACTGCAAGAAAGTCTAACAAGGGTATTTAAGTCACACTGACATGCAAACTCACATCATTGTAATGCCCATGATGTTGGTTGAGTTTCTCTTTGGAACTATCTGGTCTTTAAGTGATGACATGATGAAACCTGCTTCCAAAAACGTTAGCATTCATCCTCCAGCTTCACTGTGCAGTGTTGTCAACTCCTCAGTAAGGAAAATCGCTATTGGCTGTCCAAAAAATCACCAAAAGTCGCTAAATGATGTCATTGCCTAATTTGCATAATTGGTCCTGCCTATGTAATTGTAACAGATGCTGTAGGAGAGAGAAATACATAGTGGAAGAGACATAAAGTGAGTAAAAAACACCCTAAAAGCATTTAGAATATATTTATTCTAAATTCAATTTACAAATTGAATTTCAATTTACAATTTTTTTTTCTATTGTCTTATTATTGTTTTCAATAATTCCAACCCTCCTTCTTTATCCGGACTTGGGACCGGGAAAGTGACCCGAAATAGGCACACTGGCGAAGTTACTTTTTTTGGTGTGTGTATGTCTGCAAGGACATCTGATTTCTAAGTTTGCAGTGGTTGGAATGATGTATTTTAGTGCATTGATTTAAGAATCAATGCACTAAGAAAAATGTACAGTTACTGCTGCTCCCACCCTGCGTTGCAGCGGCTTCGCTCATGCGCAATTCATTTGCAGTTGTACGCGTAGGGGTGAATATCTCCTGCTCTGACATCAGCTGGGGGCGACTGCTGCGTAAGGACTACCTGCCGCCTGTGAGCTTTTCCACATGGGCGAGGTGTCCACAGCAGCACTCGCTGCTTGTTAAAAGTAAGATTGATACGTGCGCTCATGTGAAAAAGTTGTCATAAGTCTCCAATAACAAGAGAAAAAGTCGCCAGATTTGCTAGTCGCTGTTTAGAAAAAAGTCGCTAAGGGGGTCTGAAAACTCGCTAAATATAGCGACAAAGTTGCTAAGTTGGCAACATTGTCACTGTGCTAATGTGTTTATAGCTGTGCAGAAAGCCACCATGTAGCACATCATTATATACCAGCTAGCCCAACTTCAGTAACCCTACAAACGTCACTGCTGTTTAGTTTTCTGTCTTCATTTATGCTGGAAGTGATAGCAGAGCTGTACGTTTGAGTATTTACAGAAATCTCTCAGTCAGAACATGCTATATCATGTTTAGGTGGAAACAATACAATACAACTTTATTTATATAACACATTTAAAAAACAACGGTACACCAAAGTGATTCAAAATAAAACAGCTGGTTAAAACATGATTAATATAAGACCATTAACAAAATACTGAATATGATAACAGGTCAATAGCACTAATTACACAAGATTAAAAGTGAATATCAAATCAAACTTGCTAAAAACATAGATAAAATAGGAATTAAGTATAAAATACAGGCATCAACTAACCAGGAAAGAAAGATTAAATGAGTGAGTTTTTAATCGTGATTTAAATGATTGGATGGAGTCAGACGCGCAAATAGCTATGGGAAGGTTGTTCCACCAGTTTAAGAAGCTAGCAAACTGACTTCCTGCTGGCTTCTAACTCCGTTAAATTTCATAAATTCTGTTTTCATGGATGCCTGGATGTTAAGCTTAATTGTTACACCTGGTAGAGCAGCCACACTGATCATTTTATTAAAGATGAAAGAATTTAATCAGTTCGTAAACCTCAGTGTTTGTTTGACTTGGGACCTGAAGCAGAGTTTGGATCCAGAAATAGCTAATGATGTCAGACTTAAAGACTGGATTTTTACACATGTCCCAGCCAATGATTATGGAAAGTCAAAATGTTTGCTGGATTCTTATTTTAATCGAGCAGCCTGTAATCAGCAGATTTTTTTATGTTTCTTTTTCAGCGTATAGGCTTCTCTGTGCTCTTGGCTATGATTTTTCTGGCAGCCCTGATGTCACTATTTGACCGGAGATGCTATTACAGCAAAAGACAAGTCTATGACAGCGTGATCCTGGAAGAAGGGGAAGATGTACTGAAAGACACTTTGAGAAAAGCAGCGAAAGATGAGTTACTTAAAATGATCTCTGAAAAAATAAATGGAAATGACAATAGGAATGGAGGTGGAAATGAGAACAAAGGAGGAAATGGAAATGGAGGAGGAAATGGAAACAGACATAGGAATGGAGGTGAGAATGGGAATGGGGGACAAGAAGGAAATCAAGGGGGTGGACAAGAAAATGGGAATGGAGTAGGAAACGTAGGTGGAAATGAGAACGGAGGAGGAAATGGAAATGGAGGAGGAAATGGAAACAGACATAGGAATGGAGGTGAGAATGGGAATGGGGGACAAGAAGGAAATCAAGGGGGTGGACAAGAAAATGGGAATGGAGTGGGAAACGTAGGTGGAAATGAGAACGGAGGAGGAAATGGAAATGGAGGAGGAAAAGGTAAAGAGGGTGGAAATGAGCATAAATGGATAGAATGTTTTGATGTTGCTGCACAAATGATTAAAAACTCAAGCATACCAAAACTTTCCAAAGAACAACGAAAGGAAGAAATAGTAGTACGTATCCACAGTGAGCTCTGAAACAGCAGCAGAAGTGACTGACTGTCAACATCTTTTACAGCACCGTGCTGAAATTGCCTTGAACGGCAATTTAAAGTAATTTAAAAATCATAAAAACTCCACAAACTAATTCCACATGATTATTATTGTATTTTATATTTAAGTCTTTTTCTTATAAATGACTGTCCAACATTCAACTTATAATTACATTAAAGTTGTTAAATGTGTAAGGAGATTATTTAGTGACTTTATATTTGTTTTCTTTTGTATGGGATGGATTTGGACAAATATAATATATAACAGGTTCTCCTGATCCTGCATGGTGCTGCCCTTAATGTTTGCAGGTAACTGCCATTTTGTGGCATTGATGTAAAAAGCCAGTTTGAGTCTAAGGCTAGGTCCACATGTACACGGGTATTTTTGAAAACAGAGATTTTCCGTTTTCTTTTTTCTTTTTTTTTAATCCTGTCTAAATGCTGCCAGGAACATGCCAAAGCAACAGGTGGTGATATATTCCTAACCGTGTAGAAATGTAATGTCGGTTGATGCATGCACTCTATATTCATATATTTCTTTAACACACATATATACAATTGTAAAAGCAAAACCTTTTACTGTTATACAAGAAAATCCTTAGTACATCATTAATGTCAAAGTTTTTTACAGTGAATATGGTCGTGTTCTTGTGAGAAGTCATTGTTCTAGACCTTTTTTCTGAACAAACATGTTGACTCGTGACCTCCAATAAAAGAAATAAAAGCTTGGGAGTCCCTGTAGCAGCTTCAGTAACTAAGTCCAATAAATTATCTACATTTGTGATTTTTCTGCTTTGGAATTTTAGGATCTGTGCTGTGAAAAAAGCTTTAATACTTAAATCTGATCACTTTTTAATACTTGCTGTTGGACTCTTTCACCTTTATGAGCTAATCACCAACATTTGTATGCTGCCTGCTCCATTCATGTCTCTGTATTTTTTGTGACTATTTTTTTTGTTTGTGCCACTATCTAGTCATTTACATGTCTTGCTTGATTGATGTCATTTCTTTATCATTTATTTCTCTTTGATTTTTCCCCCTTAAATTGCGATTTTGTGTTTCTGTCTTCTCTTTTCTTTGTTGTTGATGTGTTTGCCTTTCTGTTTTCTTCATTTCTGTGTGGTCACTTTGTAGATAGGGCACTGAAAATTAAAAAAAAAAATCAAATAATAAGTAAGCGGGGATGGGGATCAGTGTGAAATTCATCTAGTCTTAAGGTCTCTTTTAATTTAAAAAGAATATTAAACAATTAATATGAAACCTTTTTTATTATCTCAAGAACTTTAGTTGACCTGCTTATTTTAAAATAAGTGTATTCAGATGCATGAAATCAGATGATTGTTTCTCAAAATAATATTTATCTGTTTAAATAACAATAAATAACAGATTGTCAGATCAATTGAAATGACAGGGCAAAGAAATTGTTGAGCTCTTCTTTTAGTATGTGGCTGTTGTCAGGGGTTTGGGGTCCCTGGCCTTTGCAGCTGGTGAATAATCATTTGGATGTTATTAAAAAGAGTACCTTAAACTGCAGCATTCAGGCTTCTATTTTTCTCTTGTTTTTCTCTTGCTTCACTCTGGCGTCTCCTGCTGGATTAAGGCTAAATCCAACCGTGCCTTTTCAATTGCGGCTCCGATGCTCTGGAATAACCTTCCCCTCCAAATTAGACAAGCATCATCAGTGCAGGTCTTTAAGTCCAGATTGAAAATCTATTTTTATTCCCTGGCTTTTAACTGTGTAGGAAACTGACACCTTCTTATTTATTTTATTGTATGTAATGATTTTATGGTATTTTTAATTTGGTTGTTGTTTTGATCTGTGTTGTTCAGCACTTTGGTCTGCCTGGTGTGTTTGTAAAGTGCTATACAAATAAACGATGATGATGATGATGATAAAAGTGTAGGTGTATTTTCCTCACCAACCAGGAAACTTTGCTTCTTTTTATTTATTTATTTAATGTTTTGGGCTAAATTAACAAACAAATAGTAGGCTCTTCTTACTCCAGGTTTTGGAGCAGCATGTGTTCCCATCTACACATTAACCCACCTATTTCCGTAAATAATGGCAAACAACATTCTATGTGTGATCCAGTGGCCTTGCTGCTGTCCTCACTTTTGTCCACTGAAACATTTAGCACATGATAAAATGGAACAATGTGGCAAAGGAGGCACAGAATTGATCAGCTAAAATCAAATATAAAGCAAAGAACATTCCTTGCAAACACCAGTTGGCCTCCTTATTTAAAAGACTGTTAAAAGAAGAGCTGGTGTCTAATAATAACAAACATGCTTCTGTTTTTCAGAATCAGAATACTTAAATAATCCCTGTGTTGTCTTCGTAGCGCTTGTTAAAAATAACACAGCATCCACTTATGCCTTGCGAGCTACTGCTCCAAACATTTTATTAACACCATTCTTATGTCACACCACAGACCAGTCTTCTTTTATGTGCTCCCCTGGAGGCATTCATGAACTTTCTTATATACACTGCCCCCTGCTGGTAAACCTTATCATTACATTAACATCTACATATCAACACATCCCCTTTTCTCTGAATTATATACAACATAGGTCTTATAAACTAACAGTGTTGGTCAAGTTACTTGGAAAAAAGTAATCAGTAACTAATTACCGATTACTCCCCACAAAAAGTAATCCCGTTACTTTACTGATCACTTATTTTCAGAAGTAATTAATTACTTAGTTATTTATTTACTTTTTAAAAACACAATTTACAACCTGAAGAGGTGATAAAGTGATAGATCTTTCAGCCCAATTCTACTTTTTCTGCATAATCCATCATACAAAATGTAATCAAATGGAAAAGTCTCTTTTTAAAACTTGTTTCATTAGTTTTAACCTTTTAACTTTATGCATCAAGCAAAAATTTAATTATCTGCAACATTCTCTGACTGGAAGAAATTAGTTTAACATTTAAACCTATTTTCTGCAAATTCCAGCACATAAAATATATTTTTTTTGTGTGTTTACACTCAGTCTTTCAAATAGATGCAAGTAAAACACAGCAGAAAATAAATAAAGTCAAACACTCAACGGTCCTGTTGCTCTATTTTCACCTGTAAAGCAGGAGTGGCATAGGCGGAGGTTTACCCTGGTGCAGGTGTGCCGCGGTCAGTGGAAGAATCCGTGAGTTTCTCTGTGAGTTTCCCATCACGTCGTTGCGCACTCGGTGCTTGTTGGAAGTTTAGGGGTTTTTTTCGCTTTAAAAAGAAGTTTTCTTCCCACGCACAACGGACGCTAATGTTTTTGTCACTTTTTATGGAATCAAACTCAAAATAAGGTCAGTACTTCCACGCTTTAAACGCTGCACGCTCATACTCTCTCCTGCACTCGATATATGATCCACTGTTGGGCGCACTCGCTTACGTCACTGTCATGAGACATTCTTGCAAAAAAATCACGGTTTTAGTAATGCAGTAACGCAGCGTTCCTACGGGAAAGTAACGGTAATCTAATTAACGTTTTTGCAATAGTAATCCCTTACTTTACTCGTTACCTGAAAAAAGTAATCAGATTACAGTAACGCGTTACAAGTAACGCGTTACTGCCCATCTCTGTAAACTAACATATACGCATAATATTTTTTTTCCATTAATATTTTTTCAGTTTTTTTAAACACCATCAGAATATAAGATAAAACAAGTCCAGTTCACTAGTTTTACATATTAAGCCTAACTGGTCTTTTGACCTTACGCTCTGACCTCCTCAATACAGGTTCTGAAACAACTTCATTTTCTCTACATTCTCACGTCCATTTGATGGTTTCAAATCAGACACTTTCTCTGCATGTGACACATCAACATTTTCATCTTCCTCACCACATTGTTCCTCCTGAAATGTCTCTTTAGTCTTCAGTAAGTTGTGACGGTTCCTTCTGAACACATGACCTTCTTCAGTTCTTACGTCATATGATCTCAGACCTGCTTCCAGAAGAACAATGGCTTTCCTGCTCCATGCATTCTGATCTTGGATTCTCACTACATCATCCTTTTCAAGCAATCCAAGTGCTCTTGTTCCCTTGTCATATTGCTGTTTTTGTTTCCATTTCAGATTCTCTTGCTTTTTTGTAATTTCTTCACTCTGTTTGCTTTCTGCATAGCAGGGCAAAGTTGTGTGTAGCTTACGACTCATCAGCAGTTCTGCAGGGGATAAACCACAGTCAAGAGGAGCAGTCCTGTAGCTCAGCAGGGCTAAATAAGGATCTGATTGACTGTCTGTAGCCTTCTTCAGAAGCTGCTTGATCATATGCACTCCTTTTTCAGCCTTGCCATTTGCCTGTGGATGTTGAGGACTCGATGTAACATGTTTAAAGCCATATTCTCTTGCAAAATTCTGCCATTCTTTGCAATTATAGCAAGGACCATTGTCACTAATGACAGTGAAGACCATCTTTTCCATGCCTGGAAAAGATGGTCTTCACTGTCTCTCGCCCTCCTTTTAAACTTTCCTATTCCCAGGTGTCCCTCATGTATTCTTTGAAGTATCACTTGTCTCAGACTATGTGGTATCACAATCCTATTGCCTCTCAACAGCAGTCCATTTACCATGCTAAGCTCTGATCTAACATGATAATACTTTGAACAGGATCCTTTGGGCCAGTCTCCTTGGATATTTCCCATCACCGTTTGCAGCTCCCTGTCTGCAGCCGTCTCCTCACATACTTGTTTTATTTTTGCATCAAACACTGACGGAGACTGACAGAGAATCATGTTAACATGATCATCTACTTCTTTCTCAGTGGAGCTTGCGTGACACACCTATGATGCTCGCAACAGTGCATCTGCTAAAGCTAAATGCTTGCCTGGTGTGTATATCAAGTCAAAGCTGTACGTCTGCAGTTTCATCATGAGACGTTGAATCCTCGGCAACATCTCATTCAGATTTTTCTTCATGATTGACACCAGAGGACGATGATCTTTCTCAACTGTAAAGGTAGGAAGACCATAAACATAACAGTGAAAAATATCAAGTCCATATGCCAGCCCAAGACATTCTTCAGGGGCAACAGAGCCCTTAATAGGCCATGGCCGCTACCCCGGGGAACTCCACGATGCCCCAAGCCTGTCCCTACCCCCACACCAATCACAAAAGCGAAGGTGGGACCAAACTATGACCCCCCACCCCCACTAGGTGATGGAGCTAATCAAAGGAGCCAAGAGCAATTGATCTGATGTGGTGGCAGAGGCTGTATCAAGACTAATGTAATCTAATAGATAATTTCTATATTGGTTAGAATTAGGATTATTTTTATTTTTCCAGTTCATGAGGACTGTTTTCTTGGCTATGCATAGGGCAGTGAAAACCATATGGGCTATATTCTTTTCTGAAGTGACATTATCTAAGCTGCCCAACAAACACACTAAGGGGGAAGTTGGAATGTTACATTTCAGACACTTCGATAAGTCTTCACATATCTCGCGCCAAAACTTCTGAACTGGTGGACAGAACCAAAAAACGTGGATGTAATTGTCCGGTGAATTGGTCTGACAGTGTGAGCAGTTGTTGGTAGACGTAAAGCCCATCTTGAACATGCGATGACCTGTATAGTGCACTCTATGTAATATTTTGTATTGAATTAATTGAAGACTGGGATTTCTGATTAGATGAAAGGTTTTTAAGCAAATCTGAGACCAGAAGTTTTGGTCTAAGTTAACTGATAAATCCGCTTCCCAATTTGCAATAGGAAGTGATATTGATTCATCTGTTTTAGAAAGCATTCTGTATATTTTGGACAGTAATAGTTAGAAATTGAACCACACTTGGTGGTGTTTGTAGTTCAACTTGACCCGGTTTAAATTAATTTTTTTACTATTTTTTTTACCGTTTTTGCAATAATAATCCCTTACTTTACTCGTTACTTGAAAAAAGTAATCGGATTACAGTAACGCGTTACAAGTAACTGCCCATCTCTGGTCTTAGGTTGCTCTAAGTTGAGATAAACACTTGTCGAGCTGTTACAGCCAATCGCCTGCCTCTATTCCTCAATGTCACTGCCTTAGCACTCAATAATTCAAAGCATGGCGGTAATGAGCTCCCCGTAGGCCTTGTCCCCAAGGAGCCTCCCCACTGTGCCTATACTGTCATGTAGTTATATCTCATGTCAGCCTTCAAATCAATTACATTTCTATCTGATGGCTATGTAATTGCGCCTGATTGAGTTTTTGGCACGCCAGCCAAGTGTGTGTCTCCCAAACTCAAGCCAGTCAAAACAGAAAGCTTCGTCCAATGAAACTGTATTTCATCCTGATTGAGGCTGCTCACATGATAAGCACAACTGTAATTACAATTCTAATAACAATAGCAATCTGCTTTCTCATCTTTGTTGTTTTCTTTTCCCCTTGCTCGCCAGATGATTTTTTTGCCTCAAGGACAATGAGCAGTGTTTACTTTACTCAAAATGCAAAGCCTGATTTGATTGTTGGTACCATGCGCAATTTAGTAGATTAAATGCAAAACAGAATGCTTTTGTATAAATCTAAAAAAAAAAAAAGAAGAAGAAAAGGGTGACTACTTTGAGGAATCTAAAATATAAATAAAACATATTTAGAGTTATTTATCATTTTGCTACATAATTCCATATACTTTGCTTCATATACTTGAATATTGTATGTATCTACAATGTAGACAGTAGTAAAAATAAAGAAAAACCATTAAATGATGAGGTATGTCCAAGCCTTTA